TTTCACAAGGGAATTTCTGACATGAAGAATAGATGAAAGCCAAAAGCGTTATTTATGGAAACGACGGAATGCAGGAAAATACGCCCGAATCGTTATGATGATGATGAGAAATCGGTATGCACCACAAAGATAGTTGTCAACGCGATTTGTCTCTCGTTTGTCCTTAACGCAGTGCGGGCAGAAACATTAAGTAAGTTGATGGTGTTTGCAGTAATGTTTTCTCACCATTATTAATTAAACAATCTGAGATGAGCCTAATTTTTATCGATATTTGGGCCATCTCAAAAACTTGCGCAAAATGGCAGTCATACTGGTAGAACCAAATGCCACAAAATCGATTGCAGACACATAAATTTGCTTGAATTCTGGATAGCATTTTATTTTCATGAAAACAGTGGTACCATAAAATTTTACTTCGCCTGCTAATCTAATAGAATAAAACCCTAAAAGTTTTGGAGTAGAAATTGATCAGTTTTTACTATTTCACTTGTAAAAATCATATTCTGTATCTTGAAAACTCCTTTCAAAAATTTTTAACACAAAAATCAGTCATTTGGATTTGTTGCTATGTTTTCAATTAAAGTAATGATAAAGTCGATTTCTTCTCTTGAGCTCTAACAAATCAGGAGGACATTTATAAACCTACGTCCACATTTGCCCCGATACATGAGGTCTGTCAGCTCAAAAAAGTTTAGTAGGATCAGTGATATTAATTTCGTTTGTTGTGGCAAACGGTGGTTCTAAAGTTGTCACATTATTTTCTGCCAAAAACAAAGCCACTTAGCAGTCGCATGCTAAATCTTTGTGGATTGTAAATTATGGGCATTTGAGGTTTCAAAACAGTGTCAGGGACACAAATGGAAAAAATTATCTACCCAATTTTGTAATGACATTGTGTTCTACTAGCCATTACTGATCCGAATCACACGGGGAATTTTTCTTTGAAATGCTGGCATCCAAAGAACATATAGATGTCAAACCATTCTTTATTAGCTAAATACTTATTTCGGTACAAAGCAATGGAAAAAAATCCGGTGTACCAAACTTCCACTGCCAGCAACATATTGATTCATAATAACAATATAATGACTGTGGCAGAATTAGCTAAAAGGTTTTGGTGGTTAACAATTTGTCCATTTAGAAGAGCAACAAGTTTGTATGATTTTTCGGTTACACTATCCTATGTGCCTACGGGAAAGCAGCTAATTATTTTGAGAGAATTAATAGATAAATAAATGATAAATAAAGAAAATCCTGAATGATCCAGTTTGGATAGTTTATGGTGGAAATGAATCGTAGAAGTAACTGTTTCACCGGCAGAAACAAGTAATTCTCCGATGATTTGTCATGAGGCCCGTAATTTGGTAGCTATTCTTATGTGGGGATAAGATCAAAAACATGATAGGATTTTGTAGATAAATACTGATTGGCAAACGGAGTCATATAGTAATCTGGCTAAATACTATCTGAATTAAAAGGGTTAAAATAACATCTAAGGGAGTGTGCTGAATAAAATATGTTTTCAATTTGGGCCAGGACGGCGTATTCGAAGGAATTTTCTCAATGTAGCATTGTTTTTCGTTTCAATAAAAATTCCCGGGCAGGTCACTAGCGATTTTGCCTGCCTTTGGCTCAGCAAACGTGACTGGTATCCGGTTTTAGCAAATCACATCTCAGTGGACCAAGATAGTGAGCCGGGATTTTACTGATTCTTAGCTGAATATTTATCTGCGGATACATGCAACTTGGTTCTGAGATACGTACCCGATTAGCCATGTAAACGGACTCTACGGAAGTTTTCATCAACCACACCATAATTATCATCTGAGTAAATTCTATTAGCATAACTAGCAACGAGAAAATTCCCTATTGTTTGATGTAAATTGAGGATGCACAACACCATCTGACTAGTGTATGAGTGACAAACAAAAATGGTTCATTCCGACAAAGCATTTCAGTTCGGTGGTGGTTCCAGTTTTTTTATTTCATTGTAGTCCTACCAACTGATGATGATGAAACTAGTAGAATTTTACAGTAAAAATTGAAACTTAGACAAGCGTTTACAATTGCTCATTTTAGTAGGACGAAATCGTATTTATCATGACAGTATTCCTGAATACGAAATTTATCAGTATCACTCAGAAAAGAGAAATTGGCGGATGTCACCTCATGAAAAAATCCCATCCATGCCAAAATCGAATTTTAGAAGACACTTTGAAAAAGATAAGCATTATTTTTTGAAATTTTCTTGTAATGGAAACCCAAACAGACAAAGGATAGCCCTCAAAGTTAGCGGCAGTAGGCATCACATCAAGTATGGAGACACTTCTCTTAAACAGCACACGCTGAATTATTTTCAATTAAATAATGCGTTCCTTCCGTTATGAATTTTAAGATTTTGGAAAGCTATCTCAAACTTTTATTATTAGCAACTAACTGACTTACCAGAATTATTTCGTGGATTAAAAATTGGTTCCTTTAAATTTAGACAAAATTTGTTTTCTAATAAATGGGTTTTACTCACAGGTTTTGACGTAACAAACATGGATATATACGGCTCCCAACACAATAAATCTCCATGTGAAATAGTAAGTACTATTCGGTGAATTCCTCGAAAATTGGACACTTTTTGTGCTTTACGTTTTTCTTGATATATTTAAATCAGACTGATACGCCCAGTGGAAAAAATTCAGTTTCTCCTGTGTTTTCTCATTTGCTTACATGAACCTCCATGGTTCTTCCTTGGAAATCAGTCGACATTTACACGAATAAAAATTAAAAGCACAGTGCACTCATTTTCCATAGTTTATTGTTGCGCGAGCAAAATTAACTTCAACTGCGGAGTCATGAACGAAAACAATAGAGTTGAATTTTCTCATTAAATTGATGTTAAATGTATGTCTTCGACCATTAAGCGCAGGAAGTTAAAACCGTTTGATCGTGACTCTATTTCGGTGCCTTGCCAACACAACTTCTGAATGAATAAAGCGATTTGTTATGCTCCTGTTCGTCCAGAATTATAATGACACCGAGTAAGCTGACTTTTCAGAAATAGGAGATATGATGTGTCATAATTCTTTCGGAAGCTAATGGAACACAAGTTTCGCCGTCACTTGTTGCTTTTTAGGATGCACTCTGGTGTCAAAACGCGAATAATAAACGAAGAACATCGGGAGCATGTCTTTGAACTCATATCCATCGGCATGCATACATCTCACGTATCCCATGCCTTTTTCTCCGTACTTTTCAAATGGGCATGATAAGATAAATTCCTGGGTTTTACTCGACCCGTGTGAAAGTCCACTGCTGCAGCGGTGATTTTGGTTTCGCATAGTAAATCTTGCTGCATCTTTTGTGGTTGGTTTTGTCTCCGTCATGCGATCGGATGAAACTTACCAGAGTGCGTACCACAGGCTAATTGATGGAGTACTTTCCTTTCGATGGACATTGGCACTATGGTCAGTCACACCATGACTGTTTTTCAGCAGTTCCTCAGTGTGACTGATTATGGCTAGTTTATTGCCGAGTTCTTACTATCCCATGCACGACAGAACACTGCGGATATGAGACCCCTAGGTGACATTTTTTGGTGTGATGTCAACCTTGCTGAAAACTATTTTAATACCACGTTGAATCTGGCATAAGCAATTTTTATTAGAACCGTGAGAAGCCATAATTGACAGAATGGTAGAGTTTCTTTTACTGCCGTCAGCCGTCTACGCAAAACATATGCTTATAGATTTCCTACATGACAAAAACCATGCATGGTAACCTGAGTTTAAAAATAGGTAGGTTTGAAATCACAGATCACTTCTACGGTTTGCAACACGAGCATTAGTTGCCTTACAGAGAGCAACGTCTGCTGTGGATCATGTCCATACACTTGGTCAGGGGGTGCACTTAAAAGCGACCCTGTATGCTGTCTCCATTGGCATTTGTTACGTCATTTTTCAAATGAAAAAGGGTGTAGAAAACGCTACGAGAATCGTACAATGATCACAATCTGAATCAAAGGGTTGGACAGCATACCATCCGGCTTATTGCTGTTGATTAAAGTGTGAGAGTTTATTTAGCACTTAAACATTTGAGTGCCCCATCGTTGATCAGTAACATCCAAGGAATGTGGCTGTAGACTTGAGATGAGTTCTTGTCTAGGTTATCCCGGTTCAGTAAAGTTTGTAAGCCACCAGCGTGTCTTTTCAGACCTCGTACACCTTATCGCACAGATGTACTGTTTCGTTGCCGAAACATAACAGTCGCTTTCGCTTTATTTGCTAAGCGATCAATTTCGGGTGTATTCTTTTGGCCCAAAATTTTTCCTGAAGACGCGAAGTCGCAGGTTTATCATCGAAAGGCTTAGCTTCTGCAAATACAGGGAACTCGATGAACTTCTGCCAGGAAGGCGAATATTAGCGTTTACTGATAAAGGCTGTTCTTGAAAGAATATGGGTGCGGGTAAACCTAGGCGCGAGTAGTCGATGGGGTAGTTAAGTGGTAGTAGGTGTCACTGGTATAAGTCTGTCAACAGTGATGATGGTTGGAAGAGGTACACAAGTGAGGATTCCATCTCAAACCCACTAACGTAGACTAGTGGTGACCAGATTTACTGTATCTCATTGCGTTTTCTTAAATCGCCCGACCCTGCTGTTTGTCCAGTAGTAGTGCTTCATACGATTTAGCCAACGCCCCAAAGCATTCAGGTTGAATGAAACTTCAGGTAGTTGGTATTTTCATTCACGAGAATACATTCAACAGACCTCAGTCAGAACCATTCAATCCAGCAAACTAAAAAGTCTAATTATAGTTACTGATGGACAGCAGAATGTCGTTGGATATCACGATTTATTTATTAAAAATCTAAACGTAGATTTAACACTGAAAATATGTATGCATGTACTTACATATAATATGCACACATATACCTATCTGTATCTATATATAAACTTAAACAACGACTGAAAATTTAATCCATTTGACTTATTCTATTTTCTAACTTACAGCTAAAAGAACGTTCTCCACAAGCTTGGAAGCGCCGTTTGTTTTCCAGCTGCACATATCATTTCTCGCCCGACCACAGTAATCTGACCTTCAATCTGGACTGGAACAGTGAAAAGCTCCCCAAAAAATACAAAAATGTTTTGTCTGGAAACTACCTAATATGGTACATCAATACTCAACTCAACAGCGGCGCGAAAAGATGCCTCAATGTCGATGGAGAAGGACAAGTTGATGATAGTTCAGGTGAGCGCAGTTTAATTTACATTGATTGACCTAACTTTGCATGCCGTCTAAATAAACCGGAAAGTAGGAAATTAGAATTATTTTTTAGCCATATTCATTGGCGACCGTGACCGTCTGCCCACAACCTGCGAGTCCCACTCTTGGTTGCTGGGTAGTCGGGCTTGGTAGCCAGGGCGCATCTCTTGATAGGCCTGTCGTATGCACGTTTAGTGCGTAGTTCCAATACAGAAGTATCATTTGATGATCCTTGCAACGATGTTTAATCTCACTCGGATTGGGATCAAGTACACAGAACGCTGGACACACCATGTTCACAAAGCCAAAGTGTCACATCGCTTTTGATAAAATAGTCCTTAGTCCGATGAGCGCTTACACCAATGGATCCACGCCAAAACAGAGAACTCAAGTTGTACTCTTATTAGGGCTGATCAGCAGTGTACACCCCTGTTCTTGTTTGGGTCTGGACTCCAGAAGTCCAAAGTGGGGTCAGCATGTTACCACTATTCCATCAGCGCAGGCTAAGAGCACCTGAACTATCACGTATGAACCGGCGAAAGTTTTCAAGATTGATTGCTTGTGGTGTTTTTGGGTTCCCAGACTTCGGCGAAGTAACCATTCTCGCCAGTCGATTCGTTTTATGGGGCTTTCCAGTCAGGTAGCTTCACCAGCGATCATAACTCCTGAAACCGATTAGCTGATGGCGCTTGCCCTACGTGACTTTACCTGGACGGTTTCGCTATCTGCAATAAGTTGTCAAAGTTTATTTCCTTCAAAGTGAGCGGTTGTCTGCCTTTGGCCTTTAGTTTCGAAACACACATAATGTACTTCTTCAACTGTAGTTTAATTTCCATTGGATTCAACTCTTGTAGGTTGCGATATGTGAGCTCCATTCCATGTAGATACTTAAATATATAGTGTTGCCGAAAGCATCATCAGGCCATCGGCTTAACGCTAAAGCCATGTTCCTTCCGAAAGGCCATTTCTCTGACTTTCATGTGATTCACAACAAGCCTATAATTTGTCCTACTCCAAAAGCTTGTCTTTTGTCCACTAATTTATTGTCTACCATTTGATAGCAATTGATGCTGCGAAACGCCCATAGCTTTATCCATCTTAAAAAGCCTGGTTTTCTTTGTAGGTCAGTAAGGGCCAGTTGTTCAATTTCACTAGCTTCATTTCGCAGACAAATAGGTCGGGTTCCTTTTGTCCGACCACGCAAATGGGTGGCTTCAATGGCCCATAGTATGAGTTACGCATGCCATGTTTTGATTTACCCGACATGTATCTACAACGGAATAAAAATAAGGCTTTTTCATTAAGGAAGCAGCTAAAAAGTTGCTGAACTCTTTGACAGTCCAAGATCTGTTTCCTCCTTTTTGGGGCTCATCAGTTAGGCGCAGTCTCCGCGTCCGTCAAACTTATGTTACACTTGAATCAAAGTCACACAGATTTTGATGTATACTTTCATTTGCATATCAGTGTGGTTTACACGGAAGGGGTTTAGCTGGGTTTGTCGTAAAAACTAAGTTGGAATGCAAATAGGAGTACTTTTCGAGACGGAAAATCGGGGTCTGCGCCTACCTAATGAGCCTCAAGAAGGACATCACCATTCGTGCGCAGTCAACGAGCTTTCAGAAACATTTTGAGTAGTTTTACTTACGAAAATATACTGAACTATCTCAAATACTATACCAACTGAAGCAGGATGTGACCTTTGTGCAGTTCGTGCACTTGAATAATATCATAATATCATAAACAAGTCTCCTTTGAAAATTAAATAAATATGTAAATGAGATATTTTTCGAAACAATGAGGCTTGACGTATTATCGATTGTTAACAGTTCGAAAGTCACAAGTAACCCGGGGGTCGGCCCTTTGGCTTCGCTTAGCCTGATTTCTAAATAGTGTGAAACGGAATAGTTAACGCTCATCCTCACTTTTATCAGCTCTCTCAGTGCGGTAACAGGGTCATTATTAATCACCCCGATTTTCATTGAGGCTTCAAAACGATCAAATACACACACAGCTAGACAGTACTGCATAGACAACGTTACGGTTGTGGGCCCTCAGGCTTACAAACAAATGACCAGCTGTTTTGCATAGGTGTCATTTTTAGTGGATAAAGCCCACTGCTTGCTAACAGAAACAGGGGGTGGAATGATTCCGCTGAGCGGATATGATAGGGTTTATGTAGCGGTTCAACAGCATCCTTTGGTGTTTACATACACTGGAGGAGGTCGATGGTTCTTTGAGGTTTCGAGATAGAGATAAACTAGTTGATCCCGCCTGTTGTTCGGTAGGTTCAGAAACCCGTTTAGACTTCCAGTGCTCCGTTTACGTTGTGCCAATAGATAATTAGCCAATAGTTTGCGGCATCGTAGCCAAACGGACTGGCCAATTGAGTGTTTTTAGGTCTCATTTGAATGTAGCTAAATTGGGCACACCCTATGCACCAAACGTGGGTGCGACTATGTATGGCGATTATTGCCCACCTGCATTTTCTTGCTAAGTGGTTGTTTTATTATTTAGATATCAATAGGGTATATTTTTACCCAGGAGTTTCCGTTTACTCTGTGACTGAATCAGCAATCTGCTGTTTTTAGAGCAGCACAAGTTTTCCCTCTAGATTATGAGTAGTTCTGTCTGTTAGTCTTGCACGCTGCACCGAAATTGCATAAACAGACTTCTTCAGTTTTTTTACTCACAGACAATTGCTTACGGGGCACACCGCTTCCAACCTAGGAGAAAAGCACTAGAAGTTCCGTTTCTCCAAGGCCAAGAGCTGAATCGTAATTTTAAGCCGATTGTTTAACTTACTATTTACGACAAATCCTAGAATTCGGTTTCAGTTTGCACATTTCGTACTTCATCGTTTTTGGATCCTGCAAAACCGAATATGGATTTCCAAGATGTAAATTCCTGAACCGACCGGCCATCCTGTTGTCCAAACTAATTATCTTTTAATCGAAGGTTTCCAATATGAGACATGCTGAGTACCAACCAACCACTGTCTTCGTTGGTATAAGGTCGACTTCCATTTCGCAGTAGTCCAAACGACAAGGAGATTATGATACTTAGCCCCTGTTTATGAAAATGTAGGTCAATGAATTAGATCCATAATTTTATAGTTTTCGTATTAATCAGATTTCCTACTAAGTTGATAAAATCAGAAGTTATTTTTTGCTGGATTGTCCCTGGTTGGGAGATTTCCATTAAAAAAGGAATGCAAAAGCCACAAGATGTTTTTCTTGGAGAGTTGGCTTTTTCCGTGGAATCTTGTGAGCAAACCGTAATGTAAACTTAACCGTAACGCCCTGTTCTTGAGGTCTTTGCTTTAACTAAGCTTGGTGGTCACAATTATTGATAATCGGATTGGTGGTCTTTGAAGCTGGCCATATATTCCATCGAGGAACATAACTATCCTGTTAGAATGTAAAGTATTTCTATCTTATTCTCATTAGGCGTTAAATTTCATTTCAGAAAATGGGAAACAACCTGATAACTACAACCCTTATGGAAGTGAGTCAAACATGTCTTCAAAATGGTTAAGCTCCTGCTAGCTGTTGTGTTTATAGGTTATTATATGCCACCTCATTGCGTGGAATTCCATCTAGTTGAACAACCTGCCAGTATCGTGCAACTGCTAGCAATCTCCCGAAATTCGAGCAGGTAACATAAAGGCCAACGCACTGCATTCAGCACCCCGAATATTAGAGAAAAATACATCTCAGATGACAACAGCAACGTTGTGTTGTCACCAAGACAGCTTGACCCCAGCTCATCCCTCAAGGTGTACCAATAAAACTCCCATGTGAACATTACAGTGTGAATTGAATGGTAACTGCGAGTTACGATATGTGTGACAGAAACATTTTTCAGAGCGTCTTTAGGCCACCTTTACAAGCTCCTGACAATAATATTTCTGGTCGCACTAGGGAGTCAAAACTTGCGCTGCGTTGCTACAAGCAAAAATTTGAAGGGTATCAACGAGCGTATTGGTGTACATCTGCTAAGAAATGTTTCACATACATTCACACCATGCTGCGGTTATCCAGCTGTAAAAACAAATCGAGCGTTGATGCATAAGGAACCAATTTCAGCATGTGTGAAGCCGATTTGCCAACTTTCAACAGGATGTGGGAACGTGATGCTTGCAGTGGGACTCGAGTTCAGAATCAACACTAGTTTCGTCTGATTGTACAGTAACATGTAGAGAAACCAGCTTCTACATGCTCATCCAATCGCTCGTCCGCTGAATCTTACGAGTTACTCTTGGATCACGTGTAACTAGTGGTGTCAAGAGAGATAGCGGTTACTCTCATACCTGTCAGAATATAATTAACTGTAGGAGTGATCAGGATTCAGCTAACTTGCCCGCTACTTTACATGCTGTTGTGCATTAAACTAGAATTTTCGTGATCACTCAGTTTAAACAGACTACGTTTTTTATTTTACCGTTTTTAACCTGAAACTAGCACTGTATACAAACACTAGTTAAATAAAACGCATGTAAGTTCGCGAAACTTTAGTCAAACTTCGATGGGTTTATTGAACTGCTTGGAAAATCGATAGTATTGGCGATGCGCGTTGTTCATGAAGGAAGCCAAATAGTTTTTAGGCCACAAATATAGATCTTAGGTGTGCAACCGAATGGTTAAGCAAGCAACCAGTGAAACTGAAGAGAAGTAAGTGAAAATGGGATAGAAAACAGATTTGTTTCAAAATAGCACTCACCAACTTCATCAGCCAAACTCGAAACTGTCTTCGGATTTGGGACACTTTACGCCCAGCGCCCAGGTGAATATTTTATTTTGGGACCAAAGACATTAAACGAATGAATCGAATGGCAGTAATTAGCTTTAAGATGCTGGTTATTATTATCTTGTTTTTGTCTTAACCACGCAGTCCGACACTCTGTTGTAAAAAAACAGACGGTACATGCTTGGACACGAGTATCCACGTAGCCTCATCAAGTATGGAGTGATCCGACTATGTAGACCATTTTGGGTCCATAAATGTGAAGTTCTCACCAATGAAAGGTAGTATAGTGTACAATTTCCGCTGGAGAGGACAGGTAACCCTATAGCAACTTCAGCCTCACTGGTAACTAACCAAAGCTGTGGTAAGTTATGACAATCTCCAAACTACTTGGTTTATTTGTCCCCTTCTTCTGACGGCCTATTAACGGGTCATCTGAAGGTTTAACCATTGTATCCGAAAACGACCAGGAGTCCACTAGGTGATCAAAAGACATTTGTGAAGGCATCAACAGCTTGTTCATAATATGGTGCTATGTCACGCGGTGCATTAACGATCAAGCACTAAGCGATAGCCCGCACTCATGTATGTTAGATGCTGCTGGCATAACGTGAAACTGATGTGAAAAAATCACGTTGTAATAATGAACGAGGATGCGAATAGACATGCTGCCATAATCACACAACAATTTAAAACATTGCAACTGTTCTGAATGACATGTCTTTTTCAATGAGGCACGATACTATTGAGAGATTTAGTCTCACATTATGGGTTATACGGCGGAACTTTAATTCTAGTCACATATCACTTCAGGTCAAATGTCCAAGATGTGGTTGCTCCACTCGTATGCCGTTGAAGTGTCAAAACAAGAGGACGAAAAAAGAGCCCTATTCAAAGGACAAAATTTCTAACGACTCAGCTTGCCTGTCTGCTAAGTTGACATGGTGACGCATCCGGCATGGGTCTGACACATTAGAGTACGGGAAAGGTCACTGTGTCGAAACATGAACATTCCAACGGTTTGTGGAAAGATAAGACATGATTGACTGACGACAAATTAGCTCGAAGGAGAAGTACATCCAATCTCCTTTCGCCATACGGCTGGCTAAATATTCATGTTGAATAAACCCACGCTTCAAGTTAACCGTGAAACGCAATGAAAAACGTGTGAATAGCATTCTATCCTAAGTAGACTTCGGATCAACTAAAATGTGGCAGACAGACTGATGAAACTATTTGGAATAGTACGCTGTAAACATAGATGCGAAGCACCATCGATTGTATTCTACTACACGCTGGTAATCCACAAGTATACGTGGGATTGTTCAGAGTTGCAAAGTTTTGCAGGATAATTATTCGTGGATGGCTTGCGTATTGACGTGGTCTGGATAAAAACATTAAATTTGCCTAAGCATGCATGATCTTGATGAACGGTTGTGAAAGAATCCATTCAACTTTGCTCCAATTCCTCGTAGTCCAAATGTGTCAATATTAATAGATTTGGATAGTAATATGGCACTGCAGCTGCGCAAGTCATTTTTGAAAGGAACACTCGAATATCCTTGTTTTGTCACTGGTGTTCTGAGTGTAACCGATTGTTCAAAAGTAAATGTCGGATTTGTGCTTTGATAAAGTTACAACTGATTTCTTCCCATTCAATAAAGAAATCAGCACGGTTGCATTCATTTTCACAGCATTCCCCTAACACAGCTACGAAAGATTAGCCTGAACAAGTATCCTGTCGGTTCAAAGAAAACATATCATTTTGTATTTAGAGGATTGGAATATTTCTTCGTTTAAAAAACCTAACTTTATCTACCTGTATATCCCGAAAGATTGAAACTGTGCAGATAAATAAAGGCAACACAAAGACATCTTGATGACAAAATTCAGGACTAAAACATATTCAGAATAGGAGAAGTATAGAAAATGTTGTTCGTGACTTCCGGCTGCAGTCTGAAAATTCGTGGACTAAAAGACCAAATAAAGAACGCTGGTACAATCTTATCTAACTCCATATCTGTTAGCTGATACTACTCCTAGTTGTGCCCCAGTAACTTAGCGCTGGCACCAAAGCAGTAAAAATTTCAATTCATGCGTTTGCTGCAAATTCCGTGAGGCAACAAGAAATCGTCAAGTTCAGCATACCCATGTAATTGGGAATTTTTGAATATCTGAAAAAATATTAAGCCCATTAACTTTTTATGGGAACTAGAAGCGACTCAAAACTAGGACGTTGCGGTCATCAAGTAAATTATGAATTCTTGTTCCACCGAATAAACATGGCATTGTTGTGAAACATCCGTTTATCTTGATCTCCTCTAAGTCTTCGTGTCATTCACCAGACTGACCGCGTTTATCAGTTTTTTGGAGGCGCTAACTTCCCATAAGCGACACTAATCAAAGGCAAACCCATCGGATTGAAGCATCAGTACTTAAAAGGCAAATTTACTTCCGAATTTTAAAACTTTCATCCACGGATTCCTCCATTAGACCATGGGATCGGATGTATTGAATCGTCTTGTTTTTTTGGCCAGATTAGAAAATTATTGGAAAAATCTTCTTTTTGTTGGTTTGTGATGCGATTACCAACAAAAACGAGTGGTGGTTTTCGAAGACCGTTTGGTCGTGTCTATGCGCCCAGATGACCTTACAATGTGCAGTTACATTATTTACGCAACAGAATTATGAGTTTAATGGGCCCACTTAATGATTATTCTCCACAAAAGTTATTTACCACTTTTTTTACTACTTGCCGGAATTAAGCAAAGCGAAATGTTGGCATCTGGCCAAGTTTATTTCCTCGGCGCAATTGATCACTTTTACTATCCGTTACCTATCACCCAAAGCTGGTTCACTTTATCGCGGCCTTTGCACGATATGACGGTGTGCTTGAAACAGCTTTTGTTTCACATACACATTGGCCTTATAACTTAATCAAACCTTTTACCACCATTTCGATCCCGTTTTGCTTTGAGCGATGCCTTCTATTAGAGGCTGACATCACACTGAGCTGTGTTTGTCAATTATTCATTTGACTACGTATGCTCACAGATCTAATTCCGTCCGACTTTCCGCGCACCAGTGGTGCAGATGTAGGCATTTGAGTGTGGGTGACATGCGAGCCTTGATCACTGTAATAATCATTGTCTGATGAACGTGCATCGTCTTTCCCCGTTCACTGACTGATTTAGTTGGAGATTGCAAGTGGTTCAGTGGTCGATTCACGAATTAGGGGACATAGCTTATGCCATATTGCGTTGTGTTGACGTGGGTTAGAACCCAGTTATCTCCCCAAAAACCACTACATCACAACCACCCAACATTGGCCTTACCAACCAAGATGATTCTATACTGAGCAGCAAAACTTGAACTCAGTTCATGAACTGAAACGGGACGAATATCACAATGGGGAAATGCTTCAAAACTTCGGTAAATTGGATGTTATTTGGTAAAAGTGTCTACTGTGAAATAATATGTGTCATAATTCGCCTATGTTGTGTCCAGAAAAGTATATCATTTGAGTATCGGTTCACTAGAAATACTGATAACTTATAACGTCATCCCCGCTGATCTTCACTTATGTTAAACCGATAGTGCATTCGTTTCAAGGGTAGACTGTACAAAAAACCAAAACGCAGAAATACCCATTTAAGGGCTGGACTATTCTGATGAGTGGTATATTACAACCTGGGATGTTGAATCGCAGCACTGTATATTGGAAAGTGTTTGTGCAGAGTGCCCTTTTCACAGAGGACTTGAAAACAGAGAGTTGAATGCCTAACGACTGGATACAAATGCAACTGCTAGGTGACGTTCGTATTACTGTGTGCTTGCATATGTCCATATGTATAAATGATGTACGCGGACGTAGAATAACATTTATACGTATGTTAACATAATAGATACATTGCTGTATATATGCTTATATTTATGTATAATGTGTGCATGCACTCGTATCATCACTCAAATAACAAATGCCATATAACCGGATGATTCAATCACTTTCTCTGACAGGGCTCCTCATCGTGACATCGGTTGTGAAGGGCCTCTGCAAAAATGTAAGCGTTCGATCTTCTCAAACTGTATGGTTGCCGTGTGGCCAAAATAAGGATAACTTTGGTTCTACCTTGCGTGTGTATGAATATTTTATGCCATGGTCTCAGGAGAAGTAACTGTTCGTATTTCTTCCAAAAACTGCCATAGAAACGTCACCTGAAGGATGTAAAACCAATCTCGGATTTATTTTCTCCCCATCTAGTTCACCACCAAAACTTTCAACAACGGTTTGTTCACTGTTAAGAAATGCTCACTCTTGGGTAAATCTGCCAAGCGGGTGGAGGGCCAGTTGCTTGGTGAATATGAACTAATTCTGTTGGAGAAAGGAAACCCACCTGCTGGTCCAAAGGTCAACCATATTTTCTACGTTTACAAAACAAATGAGCCGGCTTCTGGATGCAATTTTGAAGGCAACTGGGGAAGCTATGATCGTCCTGAGGGTGAGTTGAACGGTAGCCTGCCTTAGTGGGATTTTGGCAATCCCCACAGATCTCCTCTTATTATTGTCGAAATCACCCTGTTAACACATACGTAATGGAGTTTCACAGGCACTTTCAAAGGTCCTGAACTATATAGGGACCTAGACATCATTATTGTTTTGGCATCAGTACTAGTAACTCACCAATAATGCAACTTCCGATGTTATTCTCACTCGCCGTAGACTCCCCTAATTTTGTTTCATTATAGTATTCATTCAACGCACAGATTTTGTGAAGTTTTAGTTATAAATTTCGATACAGCATCTCCACAAATTTTCCCCCGCACTCCAACAAGCATCATAAGCTATACGGATATCGCTGAAGAAAGCACGACCACAGTTTGGTGATGAGATCAAAAGTCGCCCTCAGCATGTTTAACACAAATCACATTTTGTACATCATGGCTAGATTCACCAATCAGCTCACAAACGAGTTGCTGATCTGGTCATTAGAAATGGAAAGCGGGCAGGAGTATTTCTTGCCTACATTTTAGCTTTCCTGAAAGTGACATATGTCCCAACTGATTTTACTCCCAGGTGTCAAAATTACATATTAAAACTAAGTAATACTTGATGTTCACAGATGAACCATTCACTTTGCAATTCTATGCAGTGGAAAATTACTCTCAGTTGGCTGATTGATCATTCTTAAGAGTGACTCTGCATATGCAGGTAGTCAAAAGGGATACAGGAAAGTTAATCTCCTTCAGGCAGTTTGCTTTCACTGTGCGATCCCTGCAGATTTCGGAGCAAATTATGTGATTTTACCTGAAAAATAATTTCGTAAATTGTTCTGAGTTTGAGCGTTGAGTTTGTTTTCTTTTAGATACAATATTATAACCTAGTAAAGCAGTGTAGATTAAAAGGTTTGTGAAAACTTTTCTAACATCCGTTTATGCATCTGATCTTGATCCTGGAATTGTGACCGTCCGCTAATGGATCGGTGATAAAAAATCGATACGGGTTTCGACACAGGTTGCGACATCAGTTTGCGTCTGGGTGTTATTTCCTAGCTCTCACTCCGTTACAGTTTGTGCATATACACTGCTTTCACAGTGACTCCGAGCCTACTTGACTATGGTGAGGCGTGGCCGATACAGAAAATGGCAAAATAATATTATCGTGTCGTCCACTGTCGTTACAAATCTAGTCACCGGAACCACGTAATCGCAAAGTTCGGACATGTCACCTCAACTACACAATAGTGTCGAAAAAAGTCATACATTGTCCCTTTCGCAACACGATACATTTTACGTGCAATTTACGCAGATGGGGAAGTCGAGGGTAAAGGTCAATCGGGTAAGTCAGTTGAAATGTCTAGACTAATGAGTGTACCTTTACTCTTATCTAGTTTTTACTGCCAAGCTAACCGGACTCTGTTTAACACTGACGGTTACCGATAAAATACATCGTTTGCAAGCTATTCCTAGAGAGCGAGTGGAACATAACGCGGCGAATCTACCCAGTCTACGAGGGTAAAGTCAATCGGGTAAGTCAGTTGAAATGTCTAGACTAATGAGTGTACCTTTACTCTTATCTAGTTTTTACTGCCAAGCTAACCGGACTCTGTTTAACACTGACGGTTACCGATAAAATACATCGTTTGCAAGCTATTCCTAGAGAGCGAGTGGAACATAACGCGGCGAATCTACCCAGTCTATTTAAGTCGAATACTCGGGAACCGAATAGCGATTTTCGACATCTAGGCAATCACGAAAGTGGGATCTTCATTCTCACCATTGACGTCGGTTTATTGAGTGTGAGATTACGGAAATGACTTCTACATAAGTAGACTATTTTCTAAAAGAATAAGCATGAATAGATTATTCTTGAAATGCAAACTACGGGGACCGCACTTTTCTACGAGGACCAGAACATCTACCAGGCGTTGTGACTTAATTTAATTCATCGTCGACTACTTTCTGCGGCCTCATCATTCTTGAATGCTTGGCCTTTAAACACACCATTCAGTTTGACCGGTCGTTGCAGCCGAGGTTTCTGTGTGTCATCTCCTCCTCCTACCCTAGTTCCAAGTTTACCAAGTGAGGCTCTGTAACTAACAGACGACATACTAATGACTAGTAAATCTATCCGTTTACACTATCAAACGTACAAACATTATTGCTGCACGCTAGGTACGAGTATTCGCACTGTTGTCAAGTCAACGCTAGCTCGTTTTTCTGTACAAGAGTACTCACAGACCACAGAATCATGGGAAAACAGCTGCTGAGTCCCACTGGAGCCTTCACAATCTTGCTGTAATCATTGGAACAGTGGTAGCTCTCATAATGTTTGTTCATACATATTTCCAGCAGCCTAGCAGCTGATCAACGTGGATCACTGGATAGGTAGAAATGTGATAACATTCAAGTGATATATCTTTGTACAGTGCTGTTCACATTAAAATACATCCGTTCCGACGCACAAGTGGAGCTGATCAATTCATCGGAACGTAAAATTCTCACTCTGGTTTGGTCACCATGGAGCGTTTGTTTCACACGGAGTGTGAGCGAACACAGAGCTTGAGATGTGTATGGACTACCAACAGATTGTAGTGATTCAGGTTATGGAAGCTCTCGAGGAGTGTTCGTTGTCAAGATAATTAATGCGCCCGTCGTGCGTCTCACTGCCACTGGTAAAAGTAAAACTGTTGGCAGAGTGTCGATCAATGTCCCTTTAACCCGGTCATCCGCCTGGATAACACATCATGATTTGTGTGCGGACTGTGGTCGGGTGAGGCTGTTTGACGCATCAGAAATATCCGGCTGTTGTTGGGAACACAAAACGGTAGATGACTGGCTGCACGCCAGCGGAATCACTTCTTGTGTATAGTGCTGCATATCCATGCCTAGAATCTTATAATAGTCGTACAGCCAGACGTCTGTCGGACAGTATACTTAGACACTGACCCAGGGAAATTATGGCGTCAGGTCAACCGATCCCGTAACGCAACTGGACAGAATCACTGCAGGTCACCGGTGGAGATCAAACTTTTTCATTATTTGCTAAACGACAAAATGTCCACTGTTGTCTGCCAAATTCTGCGTGCGCACAATCCTGGCCAACTTCTTCGAAATCATTGAAAAAAAATTACACAAACTTTGACTGAACGAGCGTTGGCCGTACTCGATTCTTTCATACTCCTGTGCTTCTGATATCGACGCTGACATTCTCTTGACCCTTCATTCTGTACATTCTATTTCGAACCAGCTCACTAACTTTCATGTAACCTGTAATGTATAAGGCCGATAACCAAATGCACTAACCTTCCACCCACATTGGCGAGCCTCAAGCTAGTTAAGCAAGTCTAGCACAAATGTGGTTTTCGCTTGAATAGTGGCGTGAAATTGAACTTGTTTACTCTGATTTCGCACCCCAAGATGGGCCCATTTCATCGGTATGCAACCCAATCAAACCGTGGTTGAGATGGAGGTGGTGTTTGGCCTGTTGTGGTTCTGACTGCAGATGGGCAAGTTAGGTGTACGTGCACATTGGGAGGGCAGTTGATCAATACAAACGATTGTGCTTTACTGGAGCCGACTGGAACAGTACAACCTCGACTAAAACTGATTCACTTTGCAGTCGTCTCCCGAGACGAATACATTTGTGAAAGTTTTCCTTGACCGACCGAGTGCTGTACGGCTTTTGATGCTGACGTTACACAACCCCAGGAAGCCATCAGAATTATCTGCGATTACAGCATCATAGAGAGGCGTTTGCCTTCAGTGTGAAGTGGATGCGTAGGTGCAGGCTTACAGGCCCATTGTCGAAGTTTAATTGACATCGTATTGTCCAAGTGCAAGTTCACAGTGTTGAACAATAACGTATGTTTGTTAAATTGACGCCAAGTGCACCTTATGGGCATTTTCACTTCCCTTAACATAAAACCTGCTCCAAATCATGAATCTGTTGCTTACGATAAAGATAGATCTCTTGCATCTGTTTGCCCAGTGCACTCTGAACTTTCCTTACCTAAACGCGAATTAGTAATTTAAGAAAGCACTTTAATCTGTATTTCAGAAAGCATAAATCTATTGTGGGATGTGGGAGAAAAAACAATGAACATCAATAATTTTTTCACCGATCCATCTAACGGAAGCGTGTTGTGACACCTGTCGATCTGATTCACCAAGTACTAAAATAAGTGATTTATTGGACCTCAGTAAGTTGGTACGGGGCGGAGTAGTGTGCGAAAATTTCACCAGCTAAAGGGATGTCCGTAAACCGTGCACAGATAAATCATCCAGCTGACAAGAACTTGTTATCTTACCATACGAAAGCACTATGAACACTAGTTAAGCAAGATCGTGTCCATCCCACAACCTGATCGGCTCTCCGGGCTGAAAAAAGAACCCCTTGTTGAGCAAGGGGATCACGAATGAGCTCAGCTTCGAATCAGTTCGAGCGAAACTGTGTGGTTTTACTAAGCACACTCACCTAACTGACAAGGCTTGGGAGGAATATCTTTGGGCTCACATCGTGGGAGCCTGGTGAACAACATGTGGTCAAACAAGTGGTCAACAAGAGGTTAAAATTTTGATGCCCCAAGATGGTCTGGTTATCTCAATCCCGAAACGCATATCAAATTCTGCAGTGTTTACAACAGCTGAGCGATCTTTATTTAGGCACATCACAAAATTCCTGCAAAGGTTCAGTGCCGAAAATCAAGACGGGTTGTGATGCAGATTGCGACATCAGTTTGGGTCTGAATATTATTCCCCAACTTATAATCTGTTGCAGTTCGTGCATTTACACTATTTTCGCAGCGATTACGAGCCTTTCTGCCTGTGGTGAGGCCCGGCAGATAGAGACAATGGAAAAATAACATGACTGTGTCATTCTCTGTCGTTACAAATCTCGTTGTTTGAACCACGTAGTCGCAAAAATTTGGACATGTCGCTTAAACAACATATCATCTAGTGCCAAAAAGTTATAAATTACCGCTTTCGCAACACGAAAATTTTTACATACAATTTACGCAGATGAGG